CCCCAAAACCCCAAAACCCCAAAACCCCAAAACCCCATCTGATTGGAATCGCTAGAATATTTATGAAATCAATTTAATAGTTAAAATATAATCAATAGTATATTCTTTGAATTGCTCAATTTTCTCAATTTTAATTGCTGAATATCTTAGTCAATTGTTTATAAGGGTCATCATAAGTTGTAATATCATCATGAGGAACTCTGCCTCTGCTCAATACGCTATCATTTACAAACGAGTCGTATTTATTGATTCCTCTTAACATAGATTTAGGCTAAACACCGACATTAGTCATCTATCTGACATTCTATGAGTAAATGTCTCTTATATTTTTAATGTTTTCTTGTTTGTTTTATGGAGGTGCATACTTCAAAATAACCTTTTTATGTTTAGGAGCAGGTGGTTTATGTGAAGCTACAATTTTTTCATCTACAAATTCATCATACCTATTTCTCGGTCTATTCATTATATGTATACTTTGGACGCTGACTGTTGACGGTGCTGCAATGTTAGGATAGAATTACTGCTTCATTTCTCTGAGGTTTTAATTTAAATCAGAACCATTTCCAGCTCTGTTATCTAGAGTGCCGCTTACGTTATTCATGATAAGTCTTCCAGATGTGTTAAACGCATTTTTACCGAAACCTCTGTCATAGTCTTTCCTGTCATAACTAGAATTAATGCTATTTTAGTGTATTTGACTAGCTTGCTATTGATTCTAGATCACATAGCTGCTAATGTTAGCGAATTTCTAAATTGTATTCTGAGTCTATTTGCTCTTGATTTCTTCAAGTTGAACCTTTTCATTATCTAAGAGCAAATTAAGCTGCTTTTCTATTGGATCAAATTCAAAATTCTGAGGTCTGTTCCTTCTATCATCTTTTAAATCTATTAAGTTGAAAGGATACAATCCTTAATCTTTATTCCCGGGCCTTTTCCCTTGTTGAGTCTAAATAGGTCTCTATCTCTAGGTTGATTTTCTCTTATGATCTTCTTGAGTAGCTACTCGTTCTCTTTCAGCTGGTAATTCGATGATATTGAAGATGTCTCTCTCAAAGTATATTGAGTTCTGGGAGATTCGATTCTGCTTGACAGTCTTGACGCTAGATTCCCTAGTTTTGAGTCTTTAATTATAAACAGGAATGCGTGGTCGGACTGCCTTGCTAGTTCCACTAACTGTATCGCTAATTGAATCTTCAATAGACCTCTGCCTGGGTTTTCTAACTTTTCTTGCTGATTCGACTGTGAATTTCTTCAAGGTTATTGTGCCGCTTTCCTTCTCCTTTACATTCCTGAGTCTTGTTGGAGGGGAATTACTAGTACTTATTGAAGTTCTATTGGATTTTCTTGTCTCTGCTACTCTAGAGGCAACATTCCTTTGGGTGTTTCTCTGGACAGAAGATGACTACCTTATTCCCATAGATGCTTTCTTTGTAGAAACTGATCCACTAGATCTCAAATCAAGATTTGAGCCTTTTTAACTCATATATCTAGCTCCAGTTGAATTCTTTTTAGAAGAAATCTGTCTCTTTGTTGATGTTGCCCTTTTAGTAGACTTACTCTTTTTTTTGACATTTAACTAAAATTCATCGCCTTCTTCACCTGTCAAAGTTCTCTGAGATGACTTAGGATCCATACCTATTGATTTCAAGGATTTTCTACTCTTTTTATTTGACCTTCCAAGAGATGATGAACCTACATACTCATCATGCATTGAAAGATGTCCACTTGTACCAATTGCTTTTGAGACTGGGCTATCATCAGAATCACAAGCCCCTTTCGGCATGAACAACTACTTGAAAATTTTAATTGGGATTTCGTCATGAGAGTTTAGGTATATTTTTTCTAAAACTAATTCAAAGTGTCTAGTAATGATATTCCCATGAATATCAATTAAGTAACCCTTTCTATTGACTAGTCTGCTTTACATATCCATGAGATTTCCTTCAAGGTCTTTGATTATTACATAGTTATTATCCTCATCTCTCTAAAATTGCCCTTGAACATCCTAAAGCTCAAATAAAGGCTTGTTAAGTAAAAATTATTTCTTTTCCAGAATACTCATATTGGCATTATACTCCATAATTTATCGTAGCTTTTCTCTTTCGATTCTTTGGAAAACTAATTCCCTATTTAGGTCATAGAATAGCTGTCGTGCTTGATCAAGTCTATCATAATCTCCATACTAGTCCTCATTTCTTTCTGAAATACATTTATCATAAATCTCTTCTTCAAAACTCTCTTAATGAATCATATTTTATCTATTCTCTGCCAAATGATGCTCTGTAGATCTATGGCCACTCACATCCTGATCAATCATTGGTATATTTCTTGATATAATTTTCTATTCTTATTCAAGTGGCCTTAAGGTTTCTTCATCAATTACATCGATAGGAATATTTGGTCCAGATATGATGTAGTAATCAAATTCGTCATAGTTTTTATCGAATTATGCCTTCTTATCTAAATCTTCATTTATTTTTTCTAAGAGTGCTCTTCTTTCAGTTGCTTTTTTAAGTCTGATAGAAGCATTGCCTGCTCCATCTAGTCTCTCATCTAAGTTTGAAGAGACATTTCCCATATCAATAGACTTAGCATTGACCTTATAATACTTTCCTTGCTTCAAGTAGATATTTCTCATCTAGAAGTAATCAATAATTTGAAGGATAATCATCACAATGACAAATATGAATGATTCAATACAAGTTATCAAAAGCTAGTACGGCCATTCCATTGTTGCAAAGCATGTAATATCGGCAACTATGATAAGCAGATAGCTTGTCAATGAATTTATTATTGTTGATCTCAATAAGGGCTTTAGATGGTTCATATTCATATCGTCAAAAGATGCTTTGAAATATGATTTATCAAAAGCAGAGCATGTAAGTGCCCTAAGCAGCTTATGATTATGGTACAATGAGAATTACATTATTAGCCTGTAATGATCTGGATATTCTGATTTCCAATGGCCTATTACAGAATCCTTACTATGCCTTCTTTTTATAACAATTTTAATGATATAGAAGTTGAGTGGATAATGAAATAGAATTGCGAACAATGTTAGCACTAGCACTCCAACATGTTAAAATGCACAAGCAAGAGCAAATTATATAAGAAATAGCACTGGTTCAATAAAACACCAAATACAAATAATCGACTAAATGACATTAGTTTCAAGAACTTTATCTTTATATCTTAGTGCAATAAGAAAAGCAGAAGTCACAAGCATTAGTAGTAGAAGGAAAGGAAATGGAGCAAACGCACCTGCAACTGGAATGCAAGTTTTAAGATATGAATTAAACTTGGATCCCGGATTGCATGCATAGGCTGTTAAAATACACACAGTTCCATTTTCACTCACATCATATCCATATTCACATCTAAATGAAGGGTCAATACAATAGCCATTCCTTGATACATATCCATTAGGGCATTATGACAAGCATTTACTAAATAAGAAGCTGAGATATCCTGATTTACATGAAGTACATAGATTAGGATCTCCATCTCTACATTCTGTGCATTCAGGACTACAAACCAAACATTAATCACCGTTTAGAGTAGAGCCTTTAGGACAAACATTTACACATTAGCCGTTATATACAACTTAATTCTGGTTACATGAAGTGCATTAGTTAGTTTTTACTGAGCAAGTTCTGCAAGTCTGATCACAAGCGCTACAAATTCCTTTCGTTAGCTCCAAAGTGGAACCGAATGGGCATGCATCAATGCATGTTCTGTCAATCATATTTAATTTCAATGGGGATCTACATGAATTACAAGTAGTCCTATTCCCTAAACATGTAGCACAATTTGGATCACATGTTTAACAAGTCCAATTGGATCTTTGCTAAATGTATAAACCATTTGTTGGACATGAACTAAGACATTAAGAACTAAGCTAATAAAAGTTGTTTTCACAAGTTGTACAAGTTGTTGGAGACACAGAGCAGTTTTTGCATGGAGGTGTACAAGGTATACACCTCCCTTATGATTTATCAGTAATTTAGCCTGTTGGACAAGCAGTAACACATTCTTTAGAAGAGAGAAATGGATAATTAGATTTTGTATTACAAGATGTACATTCTGAAGCTGATTAATTGCAAGTTAAGCAAGTAGAATTGCATTTTAGGCATAAACCCTAAGAGTCTGATCCTGAGAAATAATAACTAGTTGAGCAATTTGAAATGCAAGTTGAGTCTTGGAGCATGTACAATGATGTGATATCCTTTGGATTGCATGCTGTGCATGTAGTAGGGCCTCCATTTATAATATTACAATCCCTGCAAGGCCAATTGCACTTTGTCTTCAATGTTAGACCTGATTAAATTATTTCGATAGGATATCCCTCAGGAGTAAAATACTCTAGCATAAAGCTATTTGTTGCTGCTGATGAGTTGGAATTCTTAAAACCTTGAATATTTAATCTGAATAGAGTGTTTTAAAGCACAGCTGTTCCAATGAGTCCTTTTATAGTAATGGTTTTTGCAGTAGTATTTACAGTAAGTTCTGAACTAAAAGGACTGTTTGGAGAACTTACTATAATCTATTAAGTATTTAATAGAACCTAAGTAGGATAATGCAAAATAAAATAACTTCCCACAGGTATCACATGTTGATTTGTAAAGTTTAATTCTAAAGAAGTCGTTATTCCAGGAATTTTATTGTCATTATTGATAGAATAAGAGCTAGTAAGAATATATGGAAGTGTCATCTGTATATATAAAGCAGGACTTTCAAGTACTGCTATAGAGAAATAATCTGTGTCATAGATTTTTATCCCAAAGGTATCTGTCAACCTCCCATTCCCAGGATTAGTAAACCCAGTAATTTTTAAATCAAATATTTATTTGGCTGGGAGTAAGTCTCCTAAGAAACTCATATGAACAGCAATGGCACCTTGATTATCTATATTGCAACTTAATGCACTTTTTTGCTTAGTACTAGAGCATCTAAGTAATGTTAAATCTATTTAAACTTGGCTTGGTAACTCAACTCTAATAATATCTCCAGTTATTAATTCTGAAACAGTCTGTATTCCAAATGTGATGCTAGTTCCCTTATCACCTACTCTATATGAAGACAAAGAAGTGATTGAAGCACTAACAATTAATGAAGGTAATGTCATTGATACAGTTGAACTAACATCAAAATAAGTGTCTATCATTCCTCCGCTTGATATGTATGTTGTGAAGTTGAATATTGAACTTGTTTTAAGGGATCTTGGGCTAATAATATCAGTTATTTTGAATTCTAGGTCAGTGCTATTTGGAAAGAATTTTGACTGAAAAATGCCTTCAAGTCTAAAAGTTTTGTTTCCTGAGAAATATTTGCAAGCAAATTCTAAGTTTTAATACAAGCATTTCGAAGTGGAACTACCATGTATTTCTTTAGGAAGGATAATTTCTAAATAAGCTCCTACTGGTATATCGCTCTACGTCATTAGCTTGAATTAGTATATTGCAGTTTCTGAAGCTCTAGTGTTCTCAGGCAAGATGTTGGCTTTAAAGAACTACCCAGCTTGAGTTTTTAGTAGACCTGAATAAGAGCTATTATCAATGAGATAATACTAAGTGAACCCTGAAGATTTTTAGAATACTTAGATGGTTAGTGGCCCCATAGTTTAAACTGAATCAGCTAGTTTTAGATTCTTAAATCTGATGTTGTACTAAGTGTTAGGTATGAAATTAGGCTAGAATTCTTTAATTACGATAGTTGAGCCGTTAGAAAATAACTATCCAAACTAATAGTTCTCAATATTTGAACTGATTAGTTGAACATCTTAAAAGGAGAACCTTGAGTCTTCTAATTTTATCAGTAAATCAACTAGGGCGTTTGAGTAATGACCAGTTTGAAAGACAAGATTTGCTGTAGTCTTTGAATTCACTAAGTAAGTGTCTGCAGTCAGAGTGACCAAAGGAAGAGATCCATTCCAAGCAGTAAACTTAGGACCATTAGCTTATGACACTAGAGCAATTTAGCTGTTAACAGAATCTAGCATCTATATCTAAAATCCATCTGTCGTTTTAGTGGTGTATGGATTCTTAATTCCCTCAATAATAATGTTTGATGGAATATTTGGAAGTACATAAAATTTACAAGCATCTGTTATTGTTATTTGATTTAGTCTTGAGTTTATATTGAAATTAAGATATCTCGCAGCTTTAAAAGAACCATAACCTTGGATTGCATCGATTGTGTCCACATTTAAATCATAATCGGGCCAAGGTAGCTAGATAACTAAAAGACATCCTGCATACATAGGCACTTGAACTGTGAATTGTATGGTGTAATTTGACTTTTCTTGGACTATCTTTTACTCAGCTTGGATGCTTGAACTTACTATTACTGATGCAGAATTGGCAACTAAAGTAATAACATCTGTGTCTATAACTCCAAAGACAGAATCAGTAGTCTGAACTGTAATTTGAGGTCTTGAGAGAGTATTTAAAGGATTCTTAACACCATTTACAGTCACAGAGTAAGTAGAACCGGCTGCAAGCTGACCAGATGCAAATAGCCCAGTAAAAGTTACAGTTTATTAGGATGAGCTAAAACTACAAGCAGTTGCTAGATTATTATTGTTTAGACAGCTGAGGACACTTGAATCAATCATACTTAGGAATACATTATCAGAAGTAATGTTAAACCAATAAGGGAAAACGAGCTGTATAGCACCATTTTATAGAATAGGATTAAGAGTTTTAAATGTAATTTTTATTCTATCACTCTCGCCAACAACTTAGGTGATTTGAGAAGCATATGATATTGATGAGAATTTTCCTGGAGTAGCCTAAATCGGAATGTTTGATGATTAAATATCTTATTAAGCATTTGAAGTTGCCTCAAAAGTTTAAAAGATCATTGTAGCTGTTTTCGAAGTACTGGGGGGATTTGTGATCGCACTTACAACATTTAGTTAAAACGCATCACTCAATCCATTATTCAGGGTAACTTTGATTATCTGTGATGACATACTCGCACATGATTTGATTGTGGTGGTTGAAGGTTCTATGAACTGACAGGTTAGAGTTGTTTAGACTCCAGAATATCTAACAGTCATCATAGTGGGTAGAGTTATCAGAATATAGTCATTCGTGGTTAAAGGAGTCCTAATTGTCCCATAAATTTAAAGAGTTGTACTGACTGAATTCACATTCGAAGGGTCTAGCAATGCTTATATTCCAGTTATCACACCTAATATAAAGCATTAATAACATTAAAATCTTTACTCTAGTTTGAATGGTATATGTTGAAACATAAGAAAAATAAGAAATTAAAAAAGAGTTTCATGATTAATGACTCAATTATTTTCAAATTTCAATTATATTCTTATCCTTATAACATTAAAGTTATGGGGTTTTGGGGTTTTGGGGTTTTGGGGTTTTGGGG